CACGCCGTCTCTGAGGGCACCAAGGCTGTGACTAAGTACTCTTCTTCCGCCAAATAAGCGGCTTCTTTACGGTTTTCTTTTCAGCTTGCTTTTTTTTTTACTACCTCTTGATCTGTTATGGGCTCTGAGGTGGTCGGTTATGGGTGTTTTGCGGGTTTCTAATGCGTCATGGGATGGCTTGAATTTTCTTTTCCCCGATGGGTGATTTTTTTTTTGAATGGTTACCACTCTACTATGAATGCGGTGTAACATAACTCGGGTCTGGGGCAGGCATGGATTGGCCTCCCCTACTAGAACGCGAAATTCCAAATGCTTAATTGCATTGCATCATGATCTTATTTCTCTTTGTCTGGTAATATTTCGAAGGCGCAAGCTAAAAAAAAGAGGAGCAACTTCCATCTGGTTTGTCAATTATCTCACTCCATCTCATCCGAGTCGTCCAGCGCCTCAACTTCATCGAGAGCCTCCGCCCGACCATGACCGTGATCTGGCTGATGCCGGCTGGGGAAGATGTGTACAATGGGCTGTCCAGGCGTGGATTGAATTCGTTTCTTCCAGTCTACCCAGTCATCTTCATCCTTGATGATAAACCCAATCATCATGCTAGGATCCATGTCCTTGATATGGATTCTTCGCAGTCGACTAGTGTAATAGCTATCCAGTTCCTCTTGTGTGTACAGCCCATCTGGTCGATATGATGTTGCAGGTCGGGTGGTATGTGGATCAAGGAAAAAGAGGTGGCAATCTTGAGCGCCTACAAAGTAATGGGATGCCGACGGACGTCCGCTAGTGTTGGTTAGCGCACACTTCATATCGAACAGACGCATGAACCTACCCTGCAATGCCAACGGATTGGGGATATGTCAGTGCAGCTCGGAGTCCATCCCAGTACGCTGGGGTGACATTATCGATCCCCAGCCTGGTTCCAATCAGGATGAGTGTTGGTTGGATTCGACCTGAGGTATCGTGGGCCACGTGTACAAATTTGTCTTCGTAAACGTCCGACGTGTCATTGGTTACATAGACCCTGAGTTGGGGGACGTCGCTCTGGGTTGAAAGTAATCTATCACCGTCAGCATCACTGGATGGCTCGTTCTTTCACTGACACGTACTTGATGCATTTAGCAGTTGCCGAGGGCCCAAACCATTCACCTGGATATTTCCCGCATGATTCTGCGCCGCGGTTGACAAATCGATGTATAGAGAAGGGAGCTTCGGGGTGATCGGCGAACATCGATATT